TATATATATATATATATATATATATAGCAAATTAAGAGTGTGTTCAAGAGATATAGCCTAATGGTAGATTTAAACTTCTGGCATTGGCAGATTTTGTGATTAGTGTAATAGAAAAAGTATGAGCGTCTTTCTGTCCTCAAACTTCCATGAAAAAGGTGGGCTAAAGTATACAATTGACCTCTTACTTTATTAAGTTTAAAACTTTTAGCTCATCATCTTATATTATGAAGTTTTTAGTCCTTAAATTTAAAAGTTTGAAAATTTTAGCTCATTAACTATGGAATCCGTTAACTCTATGTTAAAGTAAGAATAAAATATTTACAGGATTAGTCTTCAAAAATAAAAAATGTAATAATTTAGTTCTAAAAGTTTAAAAATTAGAAAAATTAATAAATTAAAAATGATTAGTGAATGTCTTTGTCATGTACATAATAATAATATTAGATATCTAAAATAAAATTGAGTGATTAGCCCAATCTAAAGAAAAAAATTTGACTGAGACTAAAGAAATTTTTTTAACTATATTCTTTTAGTTTCTTAGAATTTTTGTCTTGATTCAATTAAAACATTTTCTTTAATCTTAGTTAGAATTCTTTTTTTAAATTAAGCTAATTATTCGATTTATTATAGATATCTAATATTATTCTAGTATACGTAGAAAATTCATCTATTAATTCCTTTTAATTTACTAATTTTTTAAAATTTTAAACTTTTGAAACTAAATTATTATATTTTAATTTTTGAGGACTAATTCTATAAATATTCTATTCTTACTTTAACGAATGGTTAGTCAAAGGTTTAAAATCTTCAAATCTTTAAGTTTAAGGGGTAAAAACTTCATAGTAAAAGATGAGAGACTAAAAACTTCAAACTGAATAAGGTAAGGGACTAAATATATGGTTTAGCCAAAAAAGATTAGTTAAGGTCTTGAATTTTTCTTTTTTCTTTTTTCTTTTTTTTTAATCATAATAAGCTATTTTTTCTTAGAATCTATTGTTTTACGGTTTAAATTTTTTTAAATTGCAAAACAAGAACATTAGATGGGAAGAGGATGCCAATGTCAGGGAGCCATCCCTTATTTAATAATTAATTTTTTACAATCTAAAATAATTTAGATTGAAAATATTTTTTTTTCTCACATATGAGGATGTACCTCTTCCTATTCCTACACATCCCTATATTGAACTTGAGAATTTTAACATGAAAATTTAAAGATCCTGCTTGTTGAGACATCTTCTAAGAGATAATAAGCCCTTGACGTTTTAAAAATTCTTCTTTTCTTGCCTCTCAATTGGAAATGAGGAGCTTATTTCATATTTGTCCAAACTTGAGGGCTCAACTGCCTCTTTCATTAAAGTTCAATGGTCAACAGTATTAACATAAGTGAAACGACTTGTCGTTTTAGTCATTTTTTCGGCTTCCCAACATAGGCAAAAACCAACATTGAGTCCCTCACCATACAAAATTGATAGGTTTTAACTCCTTATCTTATGACACTTTAAACCCTTTACCTTATAAAATTAGTAGGTTTTAGCCCCTCATCTTACAAAATTAATAGGTTTTAACTTCTCACCTTACATTATGATATTTTTAATCCCTCACCTATACCAATTGCAGAACATAACTCTCACCTAATATCAGGTTATAATATTCTGTTAGTTTTGTTAACTGATTGTTAACATCCGTTAGCATTCCGTTATAGAAAAACATGAATTTTAAATTTAATTTTATATGTTAGTTCCATTAACGGAATATTAACGGATGCAACAGTTAGCTAACATAATTAATAGTTAGCTACAAAGCTGACAGTCAACTAACAGAACTAACAGAATATTATAACCTGACGTTAAGTAAAGGTTATTTTTTTTTATTCGTACAAATAAGGGGCTAAAAGTATCATAGTATAAAGTGAGGGGCTAAAACCTATCAACTTTGTAAGATAAATGATTAAAAATGTTATATTATAAAGTTAAAGACTAAAACCTACCAATTTTGTAAGGTGAGGGGCTAAAAGTTGGTTTTAGCCCCCAACAATAAATAAACACAATGTACCAAAAAAACAATAAATAAACACAAAAGTGAAGTGCAGTACGTCTTGAGCGTAGGACGGACTGTAAAACTGCAATATGATAAATAAATAAAATAAAATAAAATAAAATAAAGAGAAGGTTAAATCCTCAATTTGGTTCCTCAATTATTGTTCAGACCCCTTAATTTGGTTTTTAAATTAAAAAAATTCTTAATTTGATCCCTAATATTTACTAATTTTATCTCAAATTAATATTTTTGTTAAAAAATAGTTAATGTATCTGTTATTTAACAGTAAAAAACTATTATTTAATAATAATATGTCATGTTAATAATAATACATGTCAATTGTTTTTTATGGAAAAATCAATTTAGGGTCAAAATGATAAATAATAGAGATCAAATCAGAAATTTTTTTAGTTTAGGGATCAAAGCAGAGCCTGCACAATAGTTTAGGGACCAAATTGGGGGTTTAACCTAAAGAGAAAAGACTTGTCGCCTAAGTTGCGATCTGGTTAGAAAAGAAGCTCCAGGGGAGAAGTAAAAGGAGAAGTGTAGATCAACAAGGAGAAGAGGAGAATGGCGAGGTATGATAGAGCGATCACCGTGTTCTCGCCAGACGGTCATTTGTTCCAAGTGGAATACGCTCTGGAAGCCGTCCGCAAAGGTAACGCCGCCGTTGGAGTCCGTGGCACCGATATCGTCGTCCTCGGCGTCGAGAAGAAATCCACTCCCAAACTTCAAGATTCCAGGTTTTCGGTCCATTCCTCTAATCCTCTTGCATACCGTCGTTTTCTTTCTCGCATTTCGTTCTTCCTTTTTCCCGCACTGAAAGTTAGGGTTAGGGTTTACGCTTCAGTTTTTGAAACAATTATTGGTACAAACGAATAGATTATTGTAATTGCGAGATTCTTGTGGTGTTTACTTCTTGTTTTTGATGCGATTGTTTATGTTTGCCGTTTTGCTTCTTTTGTTCTGTAGATCGGTTAGGAAGATTGTGAACCTGGACAATCACATTGCATTGGTCTGTGCTGGACTCAAAGCAGATGCTCGTGTCCTCATAAACAGGGCAAGAATTGAATGTCAAAGCCACAGGCTGACAGTAGAGGATCCTGTAACTGTTGAGTATATTACCCGTTACATTGCAGGCCTTCAGCAAAAATACACTCAGAGTGGGGGTGTGAGGCCGTTTGGTCTTTCAACTCTGATTGTTGGCTTTGATCCCTACACGGGTGCACCAGCTCTCTATCAAACAGATCCTTCGGGGACATTTTCAGCGTGGAAAGCTAACGCAACTGGCAGGAATTCTAACTCAATCCGTGAGTTTCTGGAGAAAAACTATAAGGAGACCTCTGGACAAGAAACTATTAAGCTTACAATTCGCGCATTGCTTGAGGTAAGTGTTTTTCTTATTTTCTTCTCCATTTATTCTCATTTATTGTTATTATTATTATTATTTTGCAAGAATTTCCTACTCTTTTAATTCTAGTGAAAGTAACTGTATTGCTTCCCCATTTTTGAACCCATGGCACTCTAGTTAAACCTATATTGGTATATTTAAGACATGTTCCACATGTCACATATCACATATTGAGATGCATATGCAATTTTTTCTTGTAGCATTCATATCATGTGGCAGTTTCTTGCATGGCTTTTCTTGTGCAGAACATGTTACACTATTGGCCTCTAGAGTAGTGATTTGTGTTAATTATGCTAGACAATACAGAAATGCGATTTTTATTTTGGTTAACAGGTGTACAATGGGTAGTACTCAGATTCAGATCATGAATTACATGGTAGAACTGCTTCAAAATGTAATGTTGATTTTCTAGGCTTGCTTAGGTGCATCAGTTTTTTAATCTTCCAGTACCAGACTGCAAATGGTTGGTTTGTTTTTCTTTGTGAGCCTCTGAGGAGGTGCATGGGAGTTCTGGTAAACATAGTATCATGTCTAATGTAATTATTGAATGCCCTAATGTGAATATATTGGTGCAGGTTGTTGAGAGTGGGGGGAAGAATATAGAAGTTGCTGTCATGACTAAGGAACATGGTCTGCGGCAGCTTGAAGAAGCTGAAATTGATGCTATTGCCGCTGAGATAGAAGCAGAGAAAGCAGCTGCTGAGGCTGCAAAGAAGGCTCCTCCAAGGGAAACCTGATACACATAATGTTGAACCCCTTTTCTTTGTTGAATTAATCCTCTGGAGAATTATGGACATTCTCAGATGTTAACTTGTTTAAGATGATGCTTTTTTTATGCACTCCAACAGTAACTAAAAGTTAAAGCTTTTTAATTAATGCCAGTGTTATGAAATTGCATTCAAGCAAGTTGCTGTTTTTCTTTTGGTTTAGTGATATATCTAATTTTCGGGCCTAATGAGAGGTAATAAGTTTTATTGTTTTGTGGTCAGCTGGTCAGTCCTGGAAGTGTTTAGAATAAAAGACTGGAGATGAATTCATGATTGGATTTTGTAAAAACAAATAAAGATGAAAACCTAAATTGCGGTAAAGGGTTTCTAATTCCACTTTAAGGGCCTAAATTGCTTTTATTTTGTAACTAGCTGAGTCTACAAATAAACCTTGATATTGGATCTCTAAATTGACTCTAATACATTTTTTAAGTATGGAAAGTGTTGTCTCCCAAAATCTCTCTTTCTAGTTTAGTGGTAGATAAGACTGCGAAAACGTGCCACTCACTTTGTTCAAAGTGAGAGAGGGATTCTCGGTGACCCTTACTACTTCCAAGCGTGGAACTCGACTGCGAGTTAATGGAAGAGCACCAACTAAATAAATTATAAGATGCGTTCTGGTTAGACAATTGTTGCAGAAATGAGAGTGCATTCCTATCCATAAATAATTGCCCTGGAAGAACATCAGGGACTTCCCACAACTAGGGACAAAATGTTAGTTTGTTGATCAAAACAAAAGAGGAAAATAACAGAAAAGGAGAAGAAAGAGAGTGCATGGTAGGAAAACTAAATTGTAGGGAGAAAGCGTGATGCCACCTCGAAAGCATGAAAGTGTAAAGAATGAAATAAAAGATGAAGCATAAAACTTAAAAATAAAACTTAAAAGAAGCTAGAAAGATGAATTTTGGGTAAAGTACACTAAATTGAATTGCAGAAAACTAAATACATCAAGCGGAGATGTTCACAACAAAATAATAAAAATCAGAGTTAAAACTAATGGCAGTGTAGAACTAAAGACTAAATTAAGAAAACTGTTTGAGAAAACTGGATCTAAACTAAGACATTGCTTGTAAAACTAAAATGTAGATAGTGCTGTACTAGTTGTGTGAGAGGTTGGTCCTATTGCTTCATTTCTTCTCTGTATATTTATAGTAATAAACATCCCTTGGCAGCATGCTTGGAGATCTGCGGCAGCATCTTAAAAAACCAACGACAATGTGATATCTAAAACAAACTGATAAATCTTTTTGTGTTGCTGATTATCCCCCTGGAAGTTCGCAACAAGCGAACGACTTTGCTGTCATTGTGGAAATAACCACTAAACCTTATCTGGAAAGATTTACACCAACAGCTTTTAATTAATAAAATACCTGCCAACATGGATGACACGTGGCACCATTCTTTTTTTTTTCTTTTTTTTTTTTGCAAAAATGGGTGTAAACAATGCCCCCCAAAACTTGGTTGCACGACTTCATGGAAGTGGAATCAAGTTTTTTTGAAAATTTTGTTCCTTACACTCCACCTTGTTGCCACTATAAGGAAAGCATGATGTCTCCATGAATGTAAAAATTTGAAATTGTTGTTTTCTTTAGCGTAGCATAGAATATCATCTAACAAACACAATGACTTCATAGATAAATAAGCTAGCTAAAAGTGTGTCTGTAAAAATGGAAATATATAGCCGCCAAAAAGAACAATTCCACAAATTTCCTTGTTAGCTGACATGGAGATATAAATCAAGCATGCCTCTAGAAAGCATGTTTTAAAAGCAGTGCCATCTCACAGCCTTCCTTAAAGCCGCTCAACTGTAAGATTATTCACACTAATTGTAGAAAATTAAAAACAAAAACTAAATTAAAGCTGATCTCCACCCAAACCTGACTTAGGCAAAGAGATTATTTCTACTTTGATCTACTGCATGACTTATAAACCGAAGGGTAGCATGGTTGAAAAGGTCAGCCATTTATTTTTGTGAGGTGCAGACTACCGTAAAGGTTTCATAACCAGTATGTGCCTTCATCATTTGCAAAGATTTCATATTGTTGGCAGAATGTCTCCTGGGTGACATGCCTTTAACTGACGGCAACATGCCTCCTCTTAGAACAGAGGTTGCAGCATTTTTTTATGATCCCTCCTTTTGTTTTCTTTGGCGGACATGTTTGCTTTGTTCTTTGCTGCTTTTGTGCTACTAGAGGTTGCATCTTGCTTTCTTGTGAAAAGAAAAGGGAGATTTGGAATGGTAATTGGAAGTTCAATAATAACCTCACCAAGGCTAATTGTTTTGCTGCTGACATTAAGCTCCTTAGCTGCCTTTGAGTCATTTGACTTGAAAGGAACACACTTGACAGACATCTTTGGAAACACAATTGCATTAACTAAATTTTGATTTGCCTCTTGAAAGGTTCCATCGTGTTTTTTCTTTTCCACCCAAATGAACTTTTGCCTCGTTGGAGGTTGTTGCCATTGGGAAGCATGCACCTTAGCAACAGCATGCCTCTGATGCTTTTTAACTCTTTTCTTTTGAAGTCGCCTCTGAAGAGTCCTAGGATTTTGGGTAGGGAACTCTGGGTAGGCCACCAAGTTTATATGGCGACAATGTCTTAATTGACTTTGTTTATAGAGGTAGCATTAGCACATGCCTCCATGCTTGTGTATAATATCATGCCCCCTGTGCCTTCACTCAAAGACATGGATTTGTTGCTTTTGTTCCTTCTTTGGTGTCTAATTGAAGTCTTTAGATTTCATCTTCCTTCTTCAACTTGGTAGATTCGCGAAGGCATGGTGTTTCTTATGCCGCCTCTCATGTTATCCTTGTGGCTGCAAGGAAAATTTGAGAATTTTTTGTGAAAGCCACTTTGAAAAGAATCATTATTTTTTGAATATGGCCTACGACATGTTGGACAACATGGTGGCCTACATGCCACCTGAGTGGCCTTGGGCAATGAGTCTGCAAACTGCTGAGGTGGACTAGGCTTGCAAACATGCTTTTGCTGTGGCGGCATTAGTTGGACGTTTGGATTAGCATCAGGTTACAACGGCACAAACCTTGCTGCCTTTTTAGTTTGTGAACTTCATTAACAATAAGGTCTTGCAATCTTTGTTGTTCAATCTGACTAGGTTACCCTCCAAGATTGGAAATGACTGCCCTCTTTAGACTAACGATTTTAAAAGGATATTTCACCTTCAGCCATTGTCCATAATTGAATTTGGAAGGGCTTTGACCATTAAGAAAGAACGGTTGCCGCGGACACTTCTTAAGCAAGGCTGAAGAAATATGCTTGTTAGTTTCAAAAGAAGCAGAAATAGATGGGGTGGATACCTTATCAAATTTATGCACTGATGCCGGCCAAAGTGTTGGCTTTTGTGTGGCAGCACCAACTTATTGTCGGCCATCATATGCACCTTGATTAACGGATGGCTAACATATTTGCAATTGAGTTGGTTTATTCCTCCTAGGTGTAAAAGGACTATTGCTAGCATTACTCTTTGCGGACTTAGAATGACTTGGAGGCATACTTGCTGAAGTCGCCTCCAAAGCTGCATGGCGTCGCTGACTTTGGGTAGCATGCTACAATTGTGGTTTATGCCCCCCGAGTGTGATCATGGGGTTACTCTCTAGCCTTAGTGTCGTCTAACCTTCATTTATAGTTATTATCTCTGTCATGTTTTGCGATTTGCAAAACTACTTCAGAATTCTTAGAGACATGGTTGCATGGCACTTCTTTGAATCCTCCATTAAAACCTCACTTTTGGGTTGAGGGGTTTTAAGTTCTGGAAGATTTAATTTGCATCCTTTCAAGTTTTCCTCCAACCTCTTCATGCGTTTCTCATGAAGCCTTTTAGATTTCTCAGCAAAATCAGCTATCATTTCAGCAAGTGATTTGGAGACTCATTGTCAGATGTTGCCCTTTCATTATAAAGTGGATTGATATAAGAGGAAGTATGTGATGGAGTCATGAAAAGCTTCTGGCAATCATTAGAATAAGGACTTGCCATGGTGGCACAATTTAGTAGCAGAAGATATGATTAACAAACTTGTGAAAACCCAAGATGGGTCCCACTAGGCGTGCCAAAAAGAGATTGTTGTCTCCCAAAATCTCTCTTTCTGGTCGTGTGACAGATAAGATTGCGAAGGCGTACCACTCACTTTGCTCAAAGTGAGAAAAAGGGATTCCTTGTGACTTTCACTACTTTCAAGCGTGGAACTCGGCTGTGAGTCGATGTAAGAGCACCTGATTAAATAAATTATGAGATGCGCCCTGGTTAGACGATTGTTGCAGAAATGAGGGTGCATTCTTACATAAAGGTCCATAAATAATTGCCCTGGAAGAACATCAGGGACTTCCCACAATTACAGCCAAAATGTTAGTTTGTTGATCAAAATAAAAGAGGAAAATAAAGGAAAGGGGAAGAAAGAGAGTGCATGGCGGGAAAACTAAATTGCAAAGAGCAAGCGTGATGCCGCTGCGAAAGCATGAAAGCGTAAAGAATGAAATTAAAGATGAAGTATAAAACAAAACTTAAAAGAAGCTAGAAAGATGAATTTGGGGCAAAGTGCAATAAATTGAATTGCAGAAAACTAAATACATCGAACGGAGATGTTCACAACGAAATAACAAAAATCAGAGTTAAAACTAATGGCAGCGTAGAGTTAAAGACTAAATTAGGAAAGCTGTTTGAGAAAATTGGATCTAAACTAAGGAATTGCTTGTAAAACTAAAATGTAGATAGCGCTGGGTTAGTTGTGTGAGAGGTTGGTCCTATTGCTTTGTTTCTTCTCTGCATATTTATAGCAATAAACATCCCTTGGCGGCATGCTTGGAGATCTGCGGCAACATCTTAAAAAACCAACAGCAACGTGATATCTGAAACAAATTGATAAATCTGTTTGTGTTGCTGATTATCCTCCTGGAAGTTCACAACAAGCAAACGACTTTGCTATCATTGTAGAAATAACCACTGAACTTTATTTGGAGAGATTTACATCAACAACTTTTTATCAATAAAATACCTACCAACATGGATGACAGGTGGCACCATTCTACTTTTTTGGTAAAAATGGGTGTAAACAGAAAGTAAATGGTATAATTTTTTTTATTAAAATGTTTAAAGTCAATTCATAATTCTCATGTAA